TAAGCTCATTTCATACGGCTTCACTGGACACTCATTAAGTGATAATGGTGAATTTGGATTCTGCTCTGAGAGTAGGATTAGCTTGTTAAAAGTTAGCTAGCCTGTCTGTGCCCTTGTCTATGTTCTGTCTGGGGAGAGAGGAAGCATGTCCAGAGAGCCATTAATCTACCCCAAGATGTGTCGCAGATAAATGGTGTGGACGGTGACTCTCCCCACTGACTTTCAGATGCTTGAGCTCAGGGAAGATAAATGCTACTCCTGCTGAAAAAAAAATTTTATCAATCCTCAAACAGCAAATAACGATTGCCCATTAATACTGCCAAACCATCAGCAAAATCCCACCTCATTGCCTTTCTTAAATGGTTTTCAGATGTACAATTTATTCAGACTGAAAGTCTTTCTGAACATAAAGTCTAACCTAAGCCCTGGAGGCTGTCTTGCTTTAATCCACACATGTGCAAGTTTAACTCTTTCAAGCCTGGCACATTTTTCAGATCCTGAGCAATAACATTCATGCTGCAGCCGATGTGTTTGTTGATAGAGAGATCTAATACTTCGAGGTTTGGGATCACATTTAGAATTTCAGCTGGGGAAAAAAAAAAAGAAAACCAGAATTGGTAATTGTCTGGAATATATACAGATGAACCCCAGAAAAATATAGCACCATGACAAACAGGAAGAGGTAGGCTGCGTTTTCCTATATGTGTGGTTTAGACTTACTAACTTCCTGTTCTACCTAAAAAATACAACAAAACAAAGACTGGATAGGAATCAAGAAAATCAAGTGAAAATAAAGGTGAAAAAACACAAGGACAGTTAGAAAAATACAGGGGAATAAAAAGCAGGAATACAAAGAGGAAGAAAAATTTCTAATGAAAAGATTTAGGACTGTATGTTGCTTATGGCCATCTCCTGCAGTGGAGATGAGAGCACAGCGGCTTCTCTTTAGGGAGAAAATATCTTTCAAAACACAGAATCAGATCAAAAGACCACACAAGATTAAACTATGGTGAGAGGAAGGAGGGGAGGGGTGATCAGTGGTTGCCAGCTCAGCCTAAATTCCCATCCCTTAGGCCTTCTTTCCCATCCCATGGCTAACTACATATTCAGCTGTTGAATTTTAAGCAATCAATGTTGGAAATTTTGGCACACATGACTTGCTCAGGGTCTCAAAGGATCCAGCAACCCTGGACTACTGAGGCAGCCAGACTGTGGTTTAGGTCTAACTATTCTTCTTCTCAACCCTACCTCACGTGATTAGAGAAAACAACTTTCTTCTTTGGAAGAAAGTGCATTAAATCCCAATACTGTGTGGTAAATACTATTATAATGCAGAGCATGAAATAAATTAACTTTCAACTAATATTGAGCTCAATACAGCCATAATCTAAGTTACATTTTTGTGAAGCCAGTCTCTCAGTGCAACTATGTGGATAGACATACCAAGGGATTCTCCATCCTTTGCCGTCAGGTTACAGTCTGTAATTTTCAGAAGTCTTATCTTGCATCCTTTCTGGAGTTTTTTTGTCAAAAGTGATAGTTTTCCACCTATGTTACTGTTCCATGATAAATCCAGTTCTTCAAGTTGAGGAACAATTTCAAATGCCTCTCCTGTAACAGAAGTCTAAGGTGATTCATTCTAGGTATCAATTTCAGTGCAAGACAAAAATACAGGTTTTGAATATATTAAAGAGGAAGGTTAGCCACTTAATTCTCAAATTATTATATTTTGTATGGCTTGCCAGGAAAATTGGTGTATGCCATGAATTGTTGCTACTGCAGCAATGTTGTATAAATTCTCACCTTATCTAAGGAGCAATATAGACCACAAGTCATTGTCACATCACACACAGACTGCCTGGCCATCATTGTAGACCTGTGCCAGGACCCAGAAAGTCTAGTCTATAGGGAAATCAATACAAGTGACAAGTCTGAATTTACCGTCCTGTACAGTTCTGCTCTATTTTATTTGGCAAGCTTCCAACGTCCTCTGTACTGGGTCATTTCGGAGGAGATGAAAGAAGTCCTCTCACAGCTATTTCTGAAACTTAGAAGTTTCATTTCTGACAGGAATTTCTGACTCACTTCATAAGGAATCAAGATGAGCATTGTTTTGACAGTGGGAGTTTACATTGCCCAGTGTGGAAGTAGCAGGGGTAGGATGTAGGAAACGATGAGTTCGATTACATTAGACACAAGCTGTCTGGAAGTAAATGTAAATGAAATCCTGTACCTAAGGAGGTGACATCCTCAGCTGTCAACCTGCAGTTGTTAAGTCGAAGGACTTTTAACAGGTTCACATGATGAAGCTGAAGAGTAAGAGCTTTCAAAGTCCCACCAACACAACCATTCCAGGACAGGCTGATCTCTTCCAGCTCTGGGAGAAACGGCAGTAAAGAAGCTGCAAAAAAAAAAAAAAAAAGAAAAGAAAAAGCATATTCTGTTTGCGTGTTATCTGCACACCTTGGATGCCAATACATCTTAATACAGAGATGCTTTCTACAACCAATACAGCATTATAAAGCCATGACAATTTGTACCTCAGTTTTCTTATCTGTAGTTTGAGTGTAAGGACATTCATCTGCTTCACAGACCTGATTTTTATATATATTACATAATTTATATAATTTATTAATTAACATTCCTCAGAGACCTGGGACCACCAGATGAAATATTAAATAAAGCCAGGCCTGTATAAAAGAAAGGGAAGGGAAAAGAGGAGAGTGAATAATTGAATAGGCAAATAAGAATTAAAGAAAAGTATCAAGTAAATGTTTGAATAAAATGTGTATTTACCCAGCTCTGTTACATCTGCTGCACTTAATGCACAATTATTTAGATCCAGATTCTTGCTGTTGGGTTTCTTTCCCAGTTTCTGCATGAACTGATTAAATCTCTGCTCACCAGATGGTGACTCCGCTTCAGAAATGAGATGTGAAAGTCCATCTGAGTAACAAAGAAATAGGGCCCTGGTTACCTCTGCTACTAACACAACGTGTAAAACCTGTCTGTGGCTGTCGGGGGAAGACTTTAGGAAATCAACTAAATCTGTCAGTAAACTGGGCTCTATTTCTGATCAATGTGGACCAACAACCTGAGCGCTAAGATCACTATAGATCAAATCACTACAACGCTCCTGATGCAGAGTGAGAAAAGAATCTCCTGTTGCACATCTCCACGCTACCTTATGCCTGTTACTTTGGATGTTTGCACCACCAGTTCAAGGACATAAAATTCATGCAAAACTCTGAACTGCAGCTATTCTGGATGCACAACTCATATAACCACCTCTTTGTGCTTGCACTGTAGCCGCACTGCTGCAATACAGTCCGTACTTGATCAGTTAGCACCAAGTGGCCCTGCAATTGTGTGGTGAGCCTGCTGCTTCCTTCATGACAGCCTGTGTTCATTTTCATACATAGTCTGTGTAAGGCAGTTCCTGCTTTTCTTGGCTTTGCAAAGGAACCCCCACCTACCTTTTCTTCCATGCAGTTTCTACAGGAAGGAAAATTGCATTTACATTCATTGCTAAACCCTTTAACAAATGAGTAGTTTCATCTAATGCCTATAGCTGGAAAAAAAGCAGTCAAAAATTACACAAAATAACAATCCCGTTCTCAGTACCTGTCCCCTCATTGTTTCCCCAAACCTACCCAAAACTCTTAGGACAAAGGATGGGGTTCTAAGCTTCACCGTCCAGCTCCTTTTTAAAAATAGCCTCATTTTCTCTGGTGTGGATGTAAAGAGTATTCTTGTGTGCGCAAAGTAACATACATGATGAATTTCCATTCCCTCCCCCTCACCAGTGTCAAGTGGTAGGAAACATCTGCTCTTGTTGTCTTCAGATTGCTTTAGCAGCAGGGCAGACAGAGACCAATCTTAAATACAACGAGCCAAGCTACTGCTCAAACCTTGGCTTTGAAACCAAATAAGCTCTGCAACTAATGAGCTGGCTCTAGCACTGACCTCTCACACTGGAGATCAAGAGAGAGGTCACCCAAAAGCTTTATCCCTCCTCAGCAACATGGATCTCACTCCTTGCTTGGCAGCTATCAAATTAGAGGGCACATCCTTGATTATGTTCCAAATAGAAGCAAATCCTAGCTAAAGGATAAACTAAAATACAGGATTTTGGCTAGCAAGAAAAGCAACTGATTTTCTATGAAATTAAAATATGCACATGTATTTCATTATTGTACCAGCATTACCTTCTACAGAGAGATCTTGCTTCTCACTCTGATCATCAGTTCCAGAGTAGTTTATTTCTGTTTCTTCAATTTCTCTTCTGTCCTTGCCTTCAGATTTCCCAAAGTCAAAGCCCCTGAAGAATTTTTCAATGGCTGAAGGCTGCTCTTTTCTTTTTCCAGGAGAGGACCTCTTCCCTTGGAACTGTTTTATAACAAAGTCAAATGGGGAGCTCTTCAGGATGTCCTCTTCATGCTTATTCTGGCAACTCTGAATGTCATCTTTCAGGGGATCAGCAGACATATAAAGAAGTAGTTTTAGTAACGTTTACTCTTGCTTACCTTCTTTTATAATGGCAGATGCACTGCGAATTTCCTACCATTCCCTCCATGCTAATATCAGAAAAGCACTATTTAGTAGACCAGACTCTGAACTCACTTCTCCT